AACATCTTTCAAGAGTCAAGTAAAGTTCAAGACGTTACGTGCAAAAACTTAAAAAAGAAGTAGAGAATTCTCCACTTCTTTCAATAGACTTAAGATATTATCTTGTAAAATTAAAAACAACTGCCTTTATTTATTATAGTATATTGCATAGCAGAAGAAACCCTTTTCTTGTTGATTGATGATTTAATAGATCGATCATAAAGTGCAACCTTATTTAAGTATCCAGCATTAAAATTCAACTCTTCATTCATATCTTCAACTGTACCTTTACTACTAACCAAAGTTAATGCGACCAAAAAGGTTTACCTTGATCTTGATGATCAGATAGAGGTACGCAGTGAATGCAACTTCAACTTCTTTTATAGCCTTCATAGTTGGATTGCGCAATGATATATGTAAAAGTACTACGTCACCTTCTGCCATACCTTCTATGAACATTTTATAATCAGTAATTGAGAGGTTTGATTATAATTCATTCTCACCTTTAACCAGTGTAACATTTTACATTCTTAATTTATCATGCTTATTAAGCATAAACTTAGAAATAATATGAGATGCACTCAAACCATCTTTGCCTCTAGCATTCATCACTGCTGTATTAGTAATTATTTACTGTACCAATGCAAAAAAAATAAATTCAAGTGGAAAGTTCAGCAATGACACTTAAAACACTGGTGTCAGTCTCATACCCACTAATACAACAAATAATCTGTCATACCCATAATAATTTCTCCCTAAGTGAAAATTAATATTGATTAAGTATATCTCAACTATAATTATAATTCATATATTTTAACACTATTTTTATAAATAAAAAGAAAATATATTAATATCTCAATATATTTGATACTACCACGCAAAAAAAAAGCAAGAGGTAGAAAATTCTACTTCTTCTATCTTATTTAAGATTGCTTGCAATATCTAGCATGTTCTACTACCAAAATTAGGTTGATCCATTTCTATAGCTTCTTAATATGAAGGAGGTTGATCAACAACTTCTGAACCGAGCAGATGAATTATTATCTACAATTTCTCCATGCTGCATAAAGTACAGATCAATCAAAGAAGTTGCAGCTATAAGCGAAGACATAGTATATATAAATATGCATTTACGGTGCGTTGTATCGCTGGTGAGGTTGAATCTGATAAGCCAAGTAACGATGGATAAAACGATGCAATTGTCATCAGTTATCTTAACTAGTATATTGATCGTAACACATGCTAAGTACGCAATGCTTTTTTATATTCATTCTCAATCCCTTTCCCTTAAATGAAAATTATACTTTAGCTACAAATACAATCCTGTATCTTTTATACTAACCATACAGCCCCACTATATAACTATATATTATCCTCGTTTAAGGAGTTATTATGTGACAAGTATTACATGGGTGCGCCAAAACAATATAGGAGGTGTGTAGAGTAATACAAAACAGTAAAGAGAGTATAGCAAAGCTTGCAGAGCACTATAATCTTAATCCGAAGGCTATTGTAAAATGGAAAAAACGCTCATTTGTTATAGACGCTGCAATTGGCCCAAAACATGGAAAATCAAAGATGTCNTGTCACTTTTCGCAAGCATATACTTCTTCCTTTGGACAATTGCCTTTATTCTTTGCGGGCCATAATTCCTTGTTTAACTCGGTCTAGTTTGCATCATTGTTTGCAAAGACACGGCATTAGCATACTGTCAGATGTTGAAGGAGAGATAAAAGCCAAAAAGAAATTCAAGCTATGTCCAATCGGTTATTTCCATATTGATATCGCAGAAGTTATAACAGAAGAAGGGAAGTTACAGCTAAACTTGCTTATGTTAAACTGCATAATAACGCTATAAAACCAATAGCTACTGAGTTTTTGCGTAATTTAATCAAAATTACCCTATGAGAATTAAGAACGTCATAAACACGCTTTTTAGCGCATATTTGATAGAGTTTTCAAAAATGACATTGAACATCGTCTTACTAAAATCTGACATCCCTCGACAAGTGGCCAAGTTGAGCGTATGAATAGGATGCTAAAAGATGTTGTAGTTCAGGAGATCTAATTGGGTTATTTAACTTCAGCAATGGAGAGGCTGTAGTTTTTTAGAAATTATGTCAATAGATTCCTATGTGATTTTGCGTCTGCACGATGCTATAAAAAATCTAATAATTATTGGCTATATAATTTTTATACATAATATTAATATATTATTAATATAATGAAACATGATGGTAAACGAATGTTTTGCATTAAATATGGTAAGCGAATGTTTTGCATTAAATAAAATGAATTTAATACCAACATTAATATGTTTAATAGATAAGGGTAAAGGTTAAGAAGTTGAACGTAAGGATTATTAAGATCTCAACATATTTGAGACAAAATACCATTATGTAATGAAGCTTGCAAATTTTTCTAATATACATGCACAGGAAAACTACTACGAAGCCTATCAAGTTCTACTAGAATATATTACCTACCTGTGCACTCTTTCAACAAACTTGTCTATAATTGCCACTATAACTACATAAACAACCTGAATTTGTTTTAAAGTTTTGTCTGTGGTAGCAATAGTATATAATAAAACTAATGACAAGGTAGCAAGTACAATAGTAGTTTTGGAGTTCCAATAATAGCTGGATTATGGTTTTTTCATATAAGGTGCTTTACTCATTTTTTATAATTATAATATATATCAATAATGAATAAATTAATAATTTTTCTCAACCTTTTAAATTAAATTATATAAGAAAATTTCTTATATAACTGCTATATTTTTACTAACCACAGTTACAAATAGATCTATTAATTCACGCAGACAAAATTTTCCGCACTATAAGATCCATTTTTACTCTTCGTGAACCCTTAACTAAAACTATGTCATTATTTTGTATTATGTTATTTAAGTTATTTTTTAGTTGATGAGAATCATTGAAATGCATACCTTTTATTTCATCTGGCAATAGTTTATGTAGCTCTAACATCAGCCCACCTACTGTATGAACTTTATCTATATTATACTCTGTTATAAAGTCACATAGCTCTCTATGAAATTTTATACCTTCATCACCTAGCTCTAGCATGTCACCAAGTAATGCAACTTTTCTTTTATTAGAATACATGTTTATATTTCTTATAGCAGCTTTCATTGATGCGGGATTAGCATTATAAGAATCATTAATTAACCATATGTGTTTCTCTTTATATTGAGTGCTATAAATATTTCCTCTCCCACTTGGGAGTTTGAAAGTTGCAAATGCGTTCTCTGGTAATTCAAGCTTTAAGATCTTCATAACTGTTATAGCGGCTAATGCGGAGTAAACAAAATGCTCTCCTTGAACGCGCAGATTGCAATTTACAATTTTATTGTTGTTTAATTTAACTTTTAAAACTAGTCCATTGTGACTTTTTGTTAAATCTAGTAAATGAATCATGGCATCTGGGTTTTTGCCAAAGTCTATTATATTATAGCTATTTCTAGCGGATTGTGATGATAAATAGTCATAATATTGATTATCCTTATTTAGCACTAAAGTACCGTTGCTTTTCATCCCGTACAGTACTTCTAATTTCGCTCGCGCGATATCAAACAAAGAGGAAAAATTTGCAGTGTGTGCATGTTCAACATTAGTAATAATTGCAATATCCGGATTGCTGATCTCTGATAATTCTTTTATTTCACCACTTTTACTCATTCCCATTTCAAGAATTAAGTATTCACAATTTTGTGGGGCTGCAAGTATAGTGAGGGGCAATCCTATGTTATTATTTAAATTGTCGTTATTTGCATGGGATATACCATATTGTAATAAAGTGGTATATAGCATATCTTTTGTAGTAGTTTTTCCCACGCTACCTGTTATTGCAATAACTTTAGCGCCAATAAGAACATTTTTTATGTAGTATGATGCCATATTATGTAAGGCTTTTAGTGTATCTTCTACAATAATTAGAGGGAAGTTTTTGCATCTATTATCACTATAAATCGGTTTCGAAAGAGGTTTACTTACTATTGCAGCAATAGCTCCTTTTGCGAATGCTTCATCCAAAAAATTACGACCATCAAAATTTCTTCCTTTTAGGGCTATAAATAAATCACCTTTTTTTATCTCTCTTGTATCTGTTGAAATTTTTCTACTGCGCCAATTGCCAATCTTTCTACCACCAGTAGCGATTGCAGCATGATTTTCGTTCCATTGAAACATAGCTATTAATTTAATATTTAAGAAATTGATAAGATTTAATCTTAAACTGGATTTGTAGTTTCTAAAAACACTTTTACGTTAATTATAAAAGTTATGATACAATAAAACCGAAAAATAAAAAATATATGTTAATAATTACCAAATCTGAACTTGAAGATGCGTGCGAAAAATTAAATACATTCAAACCAGAATTCATATCAGTTGATACAGAGTTTATTAGAAATAATATAACTTACTATCCAAAATTATCATTAGTGCAGATATCCTATGGAGAAAAGAGTTTTATTGTGGATGCATTAGCACCAGAAATTGATTTATCAGCCATTGAGAAAATAATGCTCAATAGAGAAATAACAAAAGTATTTCACAGCTGTAAGCTGGATATGGAATCTTTATTGACTGTATTTAAAGATATTCCTGCTCCTATTTTTGACACCCAAATTGCTGCTATGTTTTGCACTTATTATTATGATTTTGTTGGTTATTCAAAATTGATAGAGCAATATATGGGAATAACCTTGGATAAACTTAAAGCTAAAAACTCAGATTGGTTGAAGAGACCACTATCTCAAGAACAATTGGATTATGCAATAAATGACGTGACTTATTTGTATGATCTATATCAAATATTGTGTGACAAGCTTGAAGAAAGTGATAAGGCTAATTGGTTTCAAGAAGAGATGACTGCAATAGGCGATATAAACAGATATATCCATAACCCTAAAAATGCATGGAAAAGAATAAAATTTAATCAACCACAATTAATGTTAACTGTTAAGGCAATTAGTGAATGGCAGGAAACCTTAGCACAACGCTATAATGTAGATCGCAATAAGATAGTCAATAATGCAGTAATCATTGACTTAATTGAGAGAAGGGTAGAACGTGTTGATGAAATCCTAGATGAATTAAAAAAAAAGACAAAAAACATAAAGGAAGAAGACTTATTGGAATTCATAAATATTTTTAACGACAACGAGAAGGACTGCGTGCAGCATGCAAATGTTTCGTTAGATAATTATGATAAGTCTATATTCGATATATTATCGATTATTTTAGAGGTTAAGTGTAAAGAAAATAATATGTCACGCAAATTAGTTGCTTCAAAAGATGAATTAATTAAATCAATATCTGGGCAAACAAACGACTTATTTAGGGGGTGGAGATATGATTTTTTTGGCAAATCTGTAAAATCGTTTATGGATACCGACTTAAAGTTCGAGATTTCGTCAGTGAAATCTGCAGATAATATAGCTAGAATTCATAGTAGGCAAGTAAAAATCGAGTGCTAAAATCTATTTATCCGCAGATAGATCTACTAAAAAGTTAAGCTATGCTAGCCCGCAGGTTTAATTTCTTGTGTCGATCTCATCTACTTTAGTATTGCCACTTAAGACTATAAAGTTACTTAATAAGCTCTATAACACCTGATGTTTTCACAGTATTTTAATTTTTAAGTATATTATAAGCATTATGTGAGCGGATGAATCTCATCACAATGGCGAAATCCATTTGTATAACTCCTTGTGATAATAACATAAAATTTGCTTTTACAAATGCAACTGAGGGAGCAATTTTTCAAGATCCAAAATTCCAAGATAATTTTCAAGGAATGATTCAGAACTGCATGAAAGCTCGAGCTTGTCATGTATTCAGAACAACCTTAAACCATACAGCCCCACTATATAACTATATATTATCCTCGTTTAAGGAGTTATTATGTGACAAGTATTACATGGGTGCGCCAAAACAATATAGGAGGTGTGTAGAGTAATACAAAACAGTAAAGAGAGTATAGCAAAGCTTGCAGAGCACTATAATCTTAATCCGAAGGCTATTGTAAAATGGAAAAAACGCTCATTTGTTATAGACGCTGCAATTGGCCCAAAACATGGAAAATCAAAGATGTCAACTCAAGGGGAAGAAGCAATAATTGTCACTTTTCGCAAGCATATACTTCTTCCTTTGGACAATTGCCTTTATTCTTTGCGGGCCATAATTCCTTGTTTAACTCGGTCTAGTTTGCATCATTGTTTGCAAAGACACGGCATTAGCATACTGTCAGATGTTGAAGGAGAGATAAAAGCCAAAAAGAAATTCAAGCTATGTCCAATCGGTTATTTCCATATTGATATCGCAGAAGTTATAACAGAAGAAGGGCAGTTACAGCTAAACTTGCTTATGTTAAACTGCATAATAACGCTATAAAACCAATAGCTACTGAGTTTTTGCGTAATTTAATCAAAATTACCCTATGAGAATTAAGAACGTCATAAACACGCTTNAGACACGGCATTAGCATACTGTCAGATGTTGAAGGAGAGATAAAAGCCAAAAAGAAATTCAAGCTATGTCCAATCGGTTATTTCCATATTGATATCGCAGAAGTTATAACAGAAGAAGGGAAGTTACAGCTAAACTTGCTTATGTTAAACTGCATAATAACGCTATAAAACCAATAGCTACTGAGTTTTTGCGTAATTTAATCAAAATTACCCTATGAGAATTAAGAACGTCATAAACACGCTTTTTAGCGCATATTTGATAGAGTTTTCAAAAATGACATTGAACATCGTCTTACTAAAATCTGACATCCCTCGACAAGTGGCCAAGTTGAGCGTATGAATAGGATGCTAAAAGATGTTGTAGTTCAAGGGTATTACTCTACTAATCTCATTAGTAACTCAAAGAGCATCTTTATAGCTTCGTTATGGCCTACAATTAAGCTAAAAGAGTCAAAGCTCTTAAGGAACTCACACCTCTTGAATTCGTATGTGATTAGTGGACAATATTTCCTGATTTATTTATACCCAATACTCGCCTTCATACTTTGGGAGGATGTATCTGGGGTCTCTTTGAATAAAGATTCTCCGAATCATTCTCATCCCCATATGGATCTAGAGTTCGATTTCTAAGTTGCTCTAGAAGATTGGCACTCTCTTTCTCTTTTGCTGAAAGTTCTGTGAAACGAGGAACCTCAGCATCGTCATAAACTACATTAAATATATCTCTACTATGGAAAAATTAGTATTCATAATAAAACGTCCAATATTTTAATATAAAGAGTACAAAGACTGCAATTGCGCAGTCTTTGTAGATTTAATTTATCTGCCATAACCCTTAATAGCAATTTTCATAAAAAGAGAGTTAATCATAATAAAATCTCCAATCACTAATAATTATGTAACTTTGTACTAAATTTAGTAATTTACTATTAACTTGATTAATAATAAACCAATATTAAGTGGTCAAATAATTAAATTAATAGAGTACAATATATTTTACAGTTTTATATTGTTAAGGTAATGCAGCTAGATTTTAATATTTCATTCTTAGATCTATATTCTCGTGATGGATTAATTAAATTAGATCAGGTATTTTTACATTACATAAAATCACACAATGAAGATTTATTTTCTTCGTTAACTATGGCAAGAAAAGAAAAAACGGGCGATAGTCAATTAATAATTGATCTCTCATATTTGCTTGATGAATTTATTGCCAAGCTTTTCAATATTGAAAGAGAAGTAGGGCATTTAAAGAAAAAACATGGTGATTTCGCAATCGTATATAAGTGTAAAAGACTATTTGTGCAGCGCTATGCATTGAGGAAATACACAGATGTGGCGATAGATATCACAAGTAAATTAAGTCGTTTTTTTACTTTACCAATAACAGATAAGAAATTTGCTAAAAAGGTCATGTATTGGTTTGAAAATAAGGAAAAATATGAGGATGAAGTAGAACTTGCAGCACAATATGCAGCATGGAGGGTAAAAAATAAAGGAAGCATATTATTTAGTGTATATAAGAAAATTGACCATGAAAATCTTGTATCATTTTCTAAAAAAGAGGTTAGACCTCTTTTGAAACCGATTTATAGTAAGAAATTTTTAGAAGAAGAGCAAGAGAGCGCTGCAGAATATTTGGATGCATTTGAGGAGCATAGCTCAGCTTCTGCAACAAAATTGTCATCAGAAATTGAGTTTCGACAGAGGGCTATTGATAC